CCTTGCTTATACATTTGGTGTGCAGCCTTCACACTTCCAATCAAAATTGAGGTGCTGGTCGGCACTCCACCCTGCTGGACGGGACTTCCCCTGCAGATCTTTGGAGTGTGGAACCGCACTCCAATTTCAACTAGGGTGTGCAAAGGGGTGGGGGGGGGGGGGGTTATCACTCCCCCATGTGCCCTGTGTCCCTCTCTCCTGCTCATCTTTTATGCTTCTACTCTCGATCCTTGCGGATGACCTGAAACATCTCTTGCACTCAAACCTTGCGGACAACCTGAAACACGAAACATTGTGGAAGACAGCAGAGGTCAAGAAACCCCTTCAGAAGTCGGCAAATGTCATGATGGGTGATTCTGAAACATCCTCCATGGAACATGCCCCTAGCCATAAGGGGCATGGACATGGTCCCAAGGCAACTCCGTCTGCCCCTTGCACTCCCAAGACGGCATCAAGGCACCATAATCACCCCTGTCCGTCGCAATGCCAAGTTGGCCCCACCCAGACCAATCGTTCTCCTGGAGGCTCTCCCGGCCTTGGCGTCATATTAGCCTCCAGGGGAGGATGCCACTGGGACCAACCCAAAACCCAGGCACCGCAGCAGCACCATTTCAAATAGGCAAGAGTGCGCCCTTGATAGCCTGTATACTGCGCCACCATGGCTCTTGACGCCCAAGCGCAGTGCATGGTGCTTTCCGGAGCAAGGCGTAGGTGGGCGTGGTCCACGACACCGCAGTCCTTCCTGATATGAAGGAAACGTGACTTGGCTAGCCGTGTGGACAATAGCGCCTCTTGACCTGTAGGGGCATGGCCGGAGTTAAAAGGAGCAGGACACATGTCCTTCTCCCTCTCAAGGTCTTAATGAACTCAAGCTCAACTTGGGTCTTGACTCCCTCCTTTCACCCAGGATCTTTCGTCCTTCTCCTGCTGAATATTCCCTTCATCCAATCTGCTCAATCCATAGATCTAAATCTGTAACCCTACACACCCTTTCACCAAAAAAACTTTTCTCTTACCACCCACCCACCCATGAAACAGTAAGAGAGGAGTTGGGTCTAGCTTTGGCTCTACTCCACCGGTGGTGGCCTCCTGCTCCAGGGTGAGTTTAAACGCTCTCAAGTGTTCTCCGTTGGCATGGCCACTCCTGTCTCTTCAGATGTCAGGCGGCACTCCCGATCAGAGTCTGTGATATACGCTTGACCGGGTCATGTGCTATTCCTCCTGACTCTGACACTCTCACCCCCCCCCCCCCCAACCCATACTTGGGAGTCTTGGGAACCTGGCTGAGACAAGCTGGGTTCCAGGAATTCCTAGGCTTCAGAAGACACCAAACAAGTACAGGGAGACACAAGCGGCACCTCTTCCAAGGTGCCACAGGGCCTTTTTTTCTCCTACGGCTGGATAGCTTAGAGGAGTGTGGGGGCCAAGCATCTGAGCGCACTTGGCCCCCATCAAGCTTTGTTAAAACATGAAGGCAGAGTGGACCATAGTGCCATGGCGGACACAAGTCCCAGTGGTGCCGCTTCCGGTGTGGTGAGACCAATCAAGGTCATATGTAGTACAAAATAGCTATTTACAGTAGTTTTCATGTTATTACAACCAGATATGCATATGTTACATAACCCTTTATCTTGTATCCAGTTAAGAACATTATAAGATAGTAGATTTTACACTCATTTGGCTACATAATATATGGTACTACATAGCTACAACATACTACATATCACACATCTCAAGATACAAATTAGTCTTCCCTCAGTACCTTCTTTCTATGATAATAAGCTTTCAGTAAATGTTATTTATTTCATCTCAGATATCACTTATTCAGAACTGTTTCATACCATACATCTGATTTCTCATCCAGATATTGTCATCTCATCTCACTCATCATCCACTTCTTTTCATACATCAATTACTTCATTCTACATTTATTTTATTCTACATTTATTTCATACTACAAGTATTTCATTCTTACATTCCATTTCAAACTCAATACACATGGCTTATATCACCTACATTCTCATCATACATCTCATTTCAACTCATTACTCATTGCTTATATCACCTACATATTTATTTCACCACACAGATTTCTCATCTCACCTCAGAATATTTATTTCAGTCTTTTATTATCTCATTTCTTTTTGCACTACATATTATTTTTATCACAAACAGAAGTTACTTCAGATTTTCTCCTTTTCAACATGTTTATTTCACACTACACATTTGTCAGCCACATTTATTTCATAACCAATTGTCTTTCAGATACGACTTATTTCATACCATCTTCTTACATCAGCTGATATCTTACCACTAGTACCTGATCAGAACCACCCACATGTATATAGAGAATACTCTTTCCCACTTGCTTTGTTCCCCATGCTTGCATTAGAGAAGTAAACAGAAAATTACTTAGCAGACATCACTTACTAATAGTTAACAAAAGTAATTATTATTGATTTTTCCCAGAAGATAAGAAATTGAACCCAGAAACCATTATCCCCAGAGCCTCATCCTTATCCATATCTCCAACATCCTCAATCTCTCAGCAGGTGACTTGTACAAGACATCAGTAATAAATCTCATACTAAGATTCCCTCAGAAATAACCACATCTTTTCTTTAATTTTTAGTGTAACTCTCTCCCAAGCCTTGACAAGAGGGCAGCTTCATCAGCATCCAAGTCCTCAACTCACATTTTCCCCTGTGTAGTTGTTCGTTTCCCCTCTAAGCTCTTTTCTTTAGCTT